ATATCTATGATGAAAATTACCGGCCTCTCTCATCTTTTTAAGTGGGAGAACTTGCACTATTGGTGGCTGACTAAATACTTTTTTGCCCCACTGTATCAGAATACTATAAAGCTGTGCTCTAGATAACATGAAACAGTCAGCGACGTATCTGACATTCTCAAGTCACACAGGTAACTTTTCGTGTAGGGTAACCTGCTCAAAGCCTCCATAGATGCCAAACGCTGTATATTGAAGTAAAAAATCTCTTAATATATAACAAACTAAGCTAATAATGGGTTAAGACTTTTATGGTTCTGTTTTAAGTAAGATCATCATCAGATCTTCAGTTTAGGTATTATTTATCCAGTTTTTATACTTGCACCACTTGTGTGCAGGATGTATTACATCTTTGAATTGAGAGGGTGAGGCACCCTTGCTACTTTGGAGAGTAAATTAGGTGTATAATTGCATCAGGTGTGTATGGAGGGAATGAATGTTGTTTACTCAACACAACTGATATATTTATTACTTAGAAACATTACTTTTGTATCTCTGCTTCTTTCTGTGTGTCTGCTTTTGTCTCCCTGAACCACAGTCAGCCTGGGCAGATGGCTGTTCACATTGAGCCATGTTTTACTGGAAGTTTCGTCCTGTTAAAAGAAAGATTTTTCTCTCCACTGTCGCTACAAGCATGCTCGGTGTGAGGGATTGCCTTCAAATCAATGAGTCGATGCAATCAACTGGTTTTTCTTACAAAGAAAACTTTGAACCAATCTGACGGTATGATCTGGTTGAATTGTAAAGTGTGTTGAGATTAAATGTGTTGTGAATTGGCGCTATATAAATGAACTAAATTTAAAACTGAATTATTAAAATAAAAACAAATATACATTTTAAACAGATGGAGAAGAGAGAATCTTTAGAGAGATATTACATCTTACAGCAGATAGAAATCTACAAAATGTAGCTACAAATCCACTTGATTATCATAATGCAGACTTTTAGGGTATTTGAATCAGCTTCAGAAACAATTGGTAAACCTGTGTTCAGTCTTCTAGGTTTATATATTTAACCTGATAATAAGAAATAACTTTTTATTGCTCTTCAAAAATAAATTACTAATCCTTACACAACATATACACACATACAAAATTTTCCCACAGTATATATATATATACACATTAATTTGGCATGTATTGTATTATTAGACATTGCACAAAAAGTTAGAAACACATTTATCATTACTGCCAGGAGGTAGACAAGCTCATATTCTTCTCTTATGGAAGGATTAAAAAACAATTAAATATGGATTTAAGAGCAATAATTTTTGTATGAGAAGGGATATATAGAAATACATATAGTCATATTTTTAATATCCTGTTCCAAGATCCTGCTATCTTCATCCAGTAATGTGCTTCTTGTCACATTCAGTCAGGCTAAAATTTGATTTTTAATAAGTAACTGAAAAGGAGATCTATTGTGTTATTCACAGACTAAAGCATGATTAAACACATTTTTCAAAGAACAAGATATATAAATTGTTCCGGTTCTCATTTAATCTGATTTAAAAAACTTAATATTTACTATATAGGCACACTGTAGGTCATCTTTCATTGTGTGCTCAAAGTAGACAAAATTTCACAGGTGGTTAGTGTCTTTCTCTGTTGGTCATAAAAATAACTCAACTTCTTAACCAAATTCTACAAGGGAGTAGAGAAGAAAAAAGTACTGAAGAAAGCCAAACACTGAGCAATAAAAAAGTAAATGTTACCAAACAGAAGGCTATAGCTGCCTGTTAGATATATAAATCCAATATAATTTTAGCTGGTAATTTACATGTTATGTTATTACAATATGTAACTTTATAACTTTTCCAATATGCCAATTCCTTAACTGACTCAAGTGACTCTATTGCATATAAATTATCCTTGAGAAAAATATTTCATTCTTTGTTTAATTTGCAAAACTGACTTCTGTTCAGATAGCCTTATGCATGAATTATTGATATGAATATATATGAAAAAGAACCAGAATGCATCGAATTTTGAAAAATATGAAGCAAAAGAGGATTTATTATGCAGTACAGTTAAAGGTATAGAGGAGGATTTTTTTGTGAATTTTTGAAAAGACCCGCCCTGTCCACTTTAAAAAGAAAAATGCACATGCACAACCCGGTACCCGCTCCCTAGAGGGAACACTTATTAAATGCGTGCCAGAACATGCATGAGCCCATTTCTCCTTGTGCACGCTCTGCCTAAATGTTGCTGTTTGCAACGCTCATACAAGCTTACTTTCCAAAAGATGATTTGCTATTTTTCCACTATGTCAGACTCACCACTTTTAAGTGAAAATGGGGACGAGTACATAGGACGGTCTTACGTAAACATGTCACCAGGATGATTGACAATTAGGAGGACATCTTATTTTGACGATCCACCTGGAAAATGAACGTCCTCCACTATACCTTTAAGCTAAGTAGCATAACTGTACAATAACTTGGCATTTGCATGGATTAATAATTCTTGTACTGGCAATATTTTCTGAAAAAAATATTGACAAACAGACCCATTTTACTAGTAAATCTGTGCACAAACTTAACAAGAGAGCAGTTAAAAAAAAACTTACAAATGAGATCATTATTGTTGAGCCTCACAGATAAAATGTTCTTATGGCCTTGAGCATGTTTCATTATGCACAGGTTTTTAACAATCTCCCATTCCTACAAAGCATAAAATGTTGCTGAATATCCACTCCTCTCAGTGAGAATATCTGCAAGGGGTCTGTTTGCTTCCAAAGAATTTGGAGACCAAAAATATTTTTAAAACAGCACAGAAGAAATCTTTTGTATTATAAAGGGACACGCTTCTGCACCAAAGCATAACAAACACAGGGTTTTATTGTCTGTGTACAAAAGCTGCTATGAGACAGAAACATCTGAAAATAAACAAAAACGTTTATGATGAGACTCCAGAAATCCTGAGAGTTCATCTCAGCAAACATTTTCAAGACCAAGGTGATGATTTATTTCCTTAATTGAACATGTTTAGGGAAGAGTTTAAAGTTTCTAAAATAATGCATTCCTCAAGTGGCTTAAAGCAAGACGTGTGTGAATAGGAGTAATAATATATTAAACTGTGGCAAAAAACAATATTGTGGACTTAACTGGTGAGGGGTGGGGTCAAGAGAAGAGAGATTGGGAACACTATTGAGCATTGATACTTAATTACTCAAATAAGGGATAATTTAGGATAAGATAAGACAACATAAGATAAGATAGTGGAGAAATTCCCTTGTCACATTGACTCAATAGTGAAAAGAAGGTACCAAAAGGGGGAAAAGGTATATGGGGTATAAACAGTATATGCAGTGTGTCCACAAACACACACACGCACACACATACTTGTTCTGCCTTCGTAGTGAGGACCATGTGATGACTTCCAATGATTTTTGGTCATTTTCAACCCTTTCTATGATCTAACCCTAAAACTAACCCTAAATGTAACCATTACCAATGCATACCTCACCCTAATCATTTAACACCTTAGCCCTAAACCTAACCATTAGCAAAATAGCATGTGAGGACCTCACTTTGCAACAACTGGTCCTCACTCTGACGGCTAGACAGGTACACACACACACACACACACACATATATACATATATATATATATATATATATATATATATATATATATA